TGCTGCTGCTGTTGCTGCTGCTTCCCCAACGTGGCTCGCTTCCTCTGCCGCGCTTCTATTGTCGGCCTGCCAGTACGCGCTCCTACGCTTGTTCTCACTTTCGTCCCTATCGCCGGCGAACACGCCATCTCCGCTGCCATGACGATCGCATCGACGGCGTGACCCGCACATGTTCCGCTATTTCGTACGGCGCTTCGGCCTCCGTGAGCAGGGTCGTTGGACAGCTCCAGCAAGGTTGAGCATCCGCTAAGCGTATGTTTCAGCGTGTTGAGCGAGACGTGAGAATGGCGAACAGCTCGCATCGATCCCCAGCAATGGACCATCGGACGAACCGAAACGACACTGGAAGCGCTTCAGCCCGATTGGAGCAGCGGGTAAGCGCCTCCGACAGAGGTGCCGGCATCGTCTAGCCGGGCGAAAAGAAGCCGAGCGCTGAACAAGCGAGCTTTGCCGTGCATCTCGACCCGTTCAAGACAAACGAGTTGATGTTCTCGTCGGCCGCCATGGGCCGGTGTTCGCGCTATCGTGTCATGGCCAGGCTGGGTCACTCGACGTGTTCTCATGCTTGGCGGCCGCTAGAGCTGTAAATTGCCGTGCTGGAACATGTGAGGCAGTCCGTGCCTCGCTAAGTTAGCGTACCTAATTGAGGCACAAGCGAGCTAACCGCACATACAATGCCCGTGCGTGCATCAGACACGTCGGGCAGTGCAGATCGTCAGCAGAAGCCCGCATCGGTTCCATTCTATCGGCCGAGCTCATCTTGAGCACGACGACCGCCAAAGTGTGCCGACAAGTTCGGCGTCGAGGCAGCCGCATGCTCAGCATGTAGGGGTGGTTGCTGCCGGCCACGAGACTGTGGGGATCCCGGCATCGGGTTTGCTCCACCGCACCGTCTGTGGTACGCCGCGCCGACCTTCGCAAGCAGTCAGGCGACAAGCGCCGCCTCGGTCGAGGACTGCTGCGCACCGTCGTCAGGGCGTATCTGAACGTGGCCGGCGTGACATCGTGGATACCGGAGGTGGTGCTTCAGAGAACGAAACGCGATAGACTTGGTGGGTGAAGCGTCGGAGATTAGTATCAATCTGAAGTTTAGCAACGATGCTCGCTTGCCCAGGCTCCTACCGTCATTTTCGACCAGGCGCTCCGAGAGGCGAGTGTCAATGCCGTTGGTTAGTCTCTTGCTTCAGACGTCTTCTTCCCACGTTGCAGTCGACAAGGTTCGTTCAAGAAGACACTCCGCTACGCGACACCTTTCGTCCGAGCCGCTGACTCGAATTCGTCGGAATTGGGGCCAAATCGAGCGCCATTGGGAGCCCTGTCAGCGAGGGTGACGTGCTTTAGCATCAATGTGGTCAGACTTCGGCGAGCAGATCATGCTGTTGCCGCGAACCCATCGTTCGTCTGCGTCGCAATTCTCGTTCACAATACTCGTCTGCCGAGCGACTTCGCTTCTGGTCCAGCTCGCGCCTTCCATTTCGGCTATGGGAAGTCGTGCGTCACGCGTTCTTCGGCAGATCCTTGGCAGTGTTGCTAGCCTTGGGCCGACGGAGTCAACCAGGCCTTCCATGGTCTAATTAGGTGTGTGTGTGCGCGAAGCGCACAGTATGATACTGTAGCCGATCTACAGCGTGATCAATCTGGATGTCGCCGTGACTTCCACTAACTAGGAGCCCGCACAGACCATTGCCGTTCAAGCGTGTGCAAGTCCCGGCGTACCTTCGCAGCTGCTCGCACGCAAGGAGCTCGCGAGGTGCTACCACCACTCCGCCGTGCAAAGCGGTTGATCGACAGATGCATCAAACAATCGCCGGGCTGTCGGGGATGGACGACTGGAACTGTAATTCGCACCCCGGTCGGCGCTTAGGCGCTCAAATTGACGCGTCCGGAAACGAGAAAGAAGCTGGGTTGCAAAAATCGCCTTCTCAACCAGTCTGTTTCATCGTCGCGCTGCAGACCGCATTGGGAACTCCGTTACTGTCGACTCGCCAGAGCTTGATCGGAGTTCGCAGGGAGGCAGCTGCACTTGGAAGCATTCTACCGCGTCTTTGAGGTGAGCGCCATTCGCCACCTCGACATCGCAGAGCCTCCGCACGTCAAACGTCCGAATCGATCGCTCAGCTCTCTGTTCCGGACCGCCAGATCCGCGGTTGCTGTTGACCCAGCTGAGTCGCCGCGCCATTCACTCCGCTGGCTGTGTCTCGTCTCGCCACGGTCGCGCGCGCTTCGGCGTTCCAACGCAAAGCAGCTAGGGTGGGAGAAGTTGTCAGGATCAGAGACTTCGGCGCAACCGATGCGGCACTCCGGTGAGCTTACGGCACAAATTCCGGGATTCCCGACGGGATGCCATGGGATCGGTGACGAGAGACGTGCTTGGCCGACTTGACACCTCGCGCACGCGTGGCATGGCGTGACATTGCTCACCATGTTTCATACCGGCCCCCCACACCATCGAAACAAGGTTGCCCCAAAACCGCGTCTGGAATGTGCAGAGGCCGGGCGGAGGTCCCGATATGCCCCGATCGCATATCGCGTGCAAGCAACCAGACATGAGACGCGAGAGAGAAAAAACTAAGTTTGCTGGCCGAGAAACGAAAAGAGCACACAAGAATAACCTCAAAGAAAGACGACCGCAAAAAGGGGCCAGATCGGCATCGGCCTGATCGGGGCAACAAGGGATGGCATCGCCTCGGCAGGGGCATTCGAACGCAACGGTGGATCACCCTCGAGCACCAGCACTCGGAACTGCACTGCCGGACAACGATCATTTACATTGGACACAAAGGACGGACGAAGGGTGGACATAGACAGGACGAAGCAACAAAAAGAGAGCGGTGTATCGAAAACCAAAGGGATTGTTCGAAAGTCCATGAGAGGTTGTTGGTGTGCGAGAGAGATTGTGGAATGGATGTGGTCGATCGTCAACCGACGACGTCAGTCTTATCACCCGGCCTAGCGGTCGAGCGCGACCGAGACGGCCTCGCGGAACGACTTGCGGAATCTGTCGAGGCCGGGCGCCTTTCGAGCGGGGCGAGGCTCGCGCGGCAAGTACGGGTCGGTGCGAGTCCTGCCGCGACCATCGCCCTGGACCTGGACGGGATGGTGCTCCTCGGTATCGCCAGCTGCCCATC